GAGACCCTAATGAAGTATAGAATGTGCAGGGGGAGCTTAAGAGAGCAATCAGAAGAGCATGAAAAATAAATGCTATAAATAATGTAGTGCAATAATATTATAAAATGATAAATGATTTTAAATGGCAGGCAAGATTAGGGAGAATCCCAAGATATTCTACAATTATATCAAGGGGAAGAGAATAACCAGGGAAAGAGTAGTGCTCATTAGGGACCAAGACAGCAATCTATGCATGAAGCTGGAGGACATGAAAGGGTGTTAAATGAATACTTCACATCTGTCTTCGCTCAGGAGGAGGATGTCAGTACAGAATTCAGGAAGGTTGACCATGAAGCTCCTGGGCAGATTGATGGAAAGAGTGAGGAGGTATTGGAGGTTTTGGCTCATTTAAAAGTGGACACATTCAGATGAATTATATCCCAAGTTGCTAATTCCTGTCTGGCCAAAGGAGAGGTGCCAGAGAACTGGAGGACAGTTATTGTGGTTCCGTTTTTCAAGAATGGTGGTAGAAATAAACCAGGGAATTATAGACAGTGTCACAACAAGGGTAGGGAAACTACTGGAAAATATTCTGAAGGAGAGAATTAGTCTGTATTTAAGTCAATCAGTGATAGTCAGCATGACTTCATCAGATGGAGGTCATGCCTCACAATCTGGTTGAATTTTTTGAAGAAATGATCAAGTGTGCAGATGAGAATAGTGTAGTTGACGTAGTTTATAGCATTTTAGGCAAAGCATTTGACATGGTCCCACATGGGAAACTGATAAATAAGGTAAATTCACATGGAATCAAGGGTAACTTGGCAAGTTGAATCCAAAATTGGCTTAGTGGCAAGAGACAGAGGGTGGTGTTAAAATGCTGTTTTTGTGATAGGGCTGATGTCCTGTGGCATACCACAAGTATCAGTGCTGGGTCCCCTATTGTTCATGATATATATAAATGATGTCAATGAGAATGTCGGGGAGATGATAATTAGGTTTGCGAATGACATGGAGATTAGTTGATTGACAGTAAGGAAGAAGGTCTTAGGTTACAGAAGGATATAATTGGCTTGGTCAGAGTGCAGAACAGTGGCAGATAGAATTTAAGTGTGAGGTGATACGATTTGGAAGAAGTAACAAGACAAGGGAGTACTCAATGAACATAGGACTCTAGGAAGCTCAGAGGTACAGAGATCTACAGCACTGAAGAAGGCTCTTCAGCCCATAGTGTCTGTGCTGGTGAAAACCAATCACCTAACTATTTTAATCCCAGAGGAAGATCGGGATCTTGTGTGCTTGTGCTCAAATCCCTGAAGGTGGCTGGTCAGGTTATAATGTAGTTAAGAAAGCATACAGGGCACTTGCATTTATCAGCCGTGGCATAGATAATAAGAGCAGGACATTACAGCCCTTCAGAACTTTGGTTAGGCCACAGCTGGAGTACTGTGTGCAGTTCTGGTCACTACGCTTTAGGAAGGATGTGATTGCACTGGAGGGAGCGCAGAGGAGATTCATCAGGATGTTGCCTAGGATGGAACACTTTAACTGTGAAGGGAGGCTGAATAAGCTTGGGTTGTTTTCTTTGGAGCAGAGAGGGTTGAGGGGCGGCCTGATAGAGGTGTATAAGATTATGTGGGGCATAGACAAGGTGGATAGAAAGCAGCTGTTCCCCTTAGTTGAAGGGACAATAACAAGGGAGCACATTTAAAGGTGATAGGCATTGGTACAGACTTAATGGACTGAAGGGCCTCTTCTGTACTTTATGATTCAATAAAGAGCAGTAATTTACATTTTGAAATATAACTTGCAACTGATAATGTCAAATATACTTCTTCAATTAATATTGGCACTTTCTGCAGTACAATTAGGGATGGACAATAGATACTGGCCTAGCCAGTGACATTCGCATTGTGTGAACGAATAAAACAAAACTTGCAACTCATATATCAATCAGCGGAACTTAAATCCCATACAATAAATATCACATAAGAAGAGCTTCAAAAAACTTTCTGACCAAAAGTTATCTTTTTGGAATGATGACCTTCTATTTTGTTTGTTAACTAACAACTATTGAACTGAAGCAAACTTTGCTTTTGCCAATCATTTTTAAATTTACAATCTTTAATTTTATTCCCTGCATATCTTTGTAATTTCCTAAAGCACTATAATCACTTCCTTTCTAACCATTCCATTCCTTGAACCTTAGCCTTGGAAACACTTTCTCTTCCTTCAGCCATCTTGGTTTAATGCTTTGAAAACTCTTCCCTAAATACCTCCACTTTTCTAAATCTCTCTACTCCTCTAAGACTATCGTTAAAACTTGCTTCTTTGATCAAATTTCTGATCACCTATTTTTTCCTTCAAAGTACTTTAGGATGTTTTTCTACACTAATTTACTACGGAAATTTGTTTTGTAAATTAGATCTGAAGATGAATTCAGGAGAATCGCTTTCGACTATTAAAATTGATGTTACCTAAATAAAGCATTTTTAAAAGTGCTTTATGCCTGACAGGATTGCTACTCAGCAGCAACATCAAACTGAAGAATGAAGAAAACCAGTTTAAGATGAACGAAATAACCGCGATCAATTCTTTAATCTTTATGATGAAATACAACTTTAAAATGAATCTTAGATATTTCAGTTTACACAAAATCTTTGCTATGTTGGTTAATCATTAGTAATTTGTATCAACCAACCAATCTGATGAAGATCTTTGTTTATTGCACAATAGAACAAAACAAAGTTTATAATAGATTGGCAACATCCTGGAGGGGATTTTTGCATGTGCCACATGTGTAATGTGCATGCACAAGGTAAAGGCAAAATTGCCATTTCCATTGCTAATGAGCTATAGGACTGCTTTCGCATTAGAGAGAGACAGCTGGTAATAGTTTAACCTGAGGGTCACCACACTTCAGCTGAGGGCTAAGGTTGAGAAGGTAAGACCTTCTTGGTAACCCCAGCTGGTGTTGGAATTGAACCCATGCTATTGGTCTCACTCTGCTTTGCAAACCAGCTGGCCAATCAACTGAGCTAACTGACTGACCCCCTCATTTAAATATACTATATACTGTAGATATACTTGTTATAAATCATATACATTAGAATGCACTATTCCCATCTGGTGTATTTCCCTGTATTGTGTACACCATATATTTGTAAAATACCAACAGTTCATATGATACACCTAACCATTTTCTCATGATGTGGTAATTGCTGGCAAGGCCAGTGTTTGTAACCCATCCCTAATTTATCTTGAACTGAGTGGTCTGTTAAGCCATTTGAGAGGACAGTTAAGAAACAACCATATTGCTATAGGTCCTGCATGCAGATCAAACCGAAGAGACAGGCATAGCTTGGGCCCATGCGGGTTCCCATGGCCACACCTTTAGTCTGTAGGAAGTGGGAGAAGTTGTTAAGCGTAAGGACGAGTTTGGTTAAGCAGATGAGGGTGTCGGTGGAGGGGGACTGCTTGGGCCTGCGGGAGAGGAAGAAGCGGAGGGCTTTTAACCCATCTGCTTGGGGAATGCAAATGTACAGGGATTGGATGTCCATAGTGGGGGCCAGGGAATTGGAAGTCTTGAAGGAGGTGGAGGGCATGGGAGGTGTCCCGGACATGGATGGGGAGTTCCTGGACCGGGGGGAGAAAATAGAGTCAAGGTAAGTTGTTTCAGAGCTCCCTTCTCCCTCCCCCATTTCTGAAGAAGGGTCCCGACCCAAAACGTCAGCTTTCCTGCACCTCTGATGCTGCCTGGCCTACTGTTCCTCCAGCTCTACAGTGTGTTATCTCTGACTCCAGCATAGGCAGGTCTTACTATCTCTAAGTTTGGGAGATTTCCTTCCATAAATGACATGAGTGAATCAGGTGAGTTATTCCAACAAATGGTGATGGTTGTTATGATTGCCAATACTAACATGAACTTTTGGTTCCAGCTTTATGGCCTGGGGGTTGGTTAGCTCAGTTGAGTGGATAGTTAGTTTGTGCTGCAGAGTAATGCCAGCAAAGTGCATTCAATTCCGGCACTGGCTGAGGTTATCACAAAGGATTCTTCTTCTAACCTCTTCCTCACCTGAGGTGTGGTGATCCTCAGGTTAAACAATACCAGTTGCTTTTCTGTAACAAGGGAGTCGGACTATGGTGAATTTGCCCTTACTCTTTTTTTAATATAAATTTCCTTAGCTGTTGTATTAGTATTTTAACTTGTATTCCCAGAGCATGGGGTGGCACAGTGGCTAACACTAGCAGTGGCTAGGGACTAGGATTCAATTCTAGGCTTCAATTAGAAGACTGTCTGTGTGGGTTGCCTCCAGGTGCTCCAGTTTCTTCCCACTATCTAAAAATGTGGAGGTTAGGTGGATTGGCCATGGGAAGTGCAGAGTTACAGAAATTGGATGGGATGCTATTCGGAAGGTGGACTCAATGGGCCAAATGGCCTGCTTCCACACTGTAGGGATTCTATGATTACCTGGGCTTCTAGAATATTATTCTAGTGACATTAACACTATGCCATCATTTTCCCCTAACACAGAAGGGCTCATCCAGGAGTTGAACTTGGATATCACACGTACTCATTCAATGAAAGTTCCAAAGCAAGAATCGTATGTTAGACCAATGAACCACAGTCATACCAGAGAGCTATAAAATGTGTTCCATGCATTTGTTGGAGTCTGATTAATTTACACAGACCCAAACAGAAAGTGCTGGAGAAACTCAGCAGGTCTAGTAGCATCTTTAGAGAATGAAGCAGAGTTAATGTTTCGAGTCCATTGACCCTTGGTCTCTCTATGGATGCTGACAGAACAGCTGAGTTTCTCCAGCACTTATTGTTTGTGCTTCAGATTTCTAACATCCACAGTTCTTTCTTTTTATTTAAATGTACACAAACATTGATTTGAGATTTGTGTTTTGAGTTAAGGTTTTAAAGCAATGCAGAGATTTTTGCATTTAATTCAGAATGAGATTCCAGTTAAACCTGTCAAACCAAGAGAACTCATATTTGTGTTCTTTTCTTCTAGGACACAACCAGTCAGATTTTTGTTGATGCCTTCTCACATGGTGACTAAGGTAAAGTATGCAGCTATTTGGATGAGACTCATTTTTGGTTGTACTGCCGTTATAATAGGGTAATTAGATAAGTGATATAGATGCAGTGGCTGACTCACAGTTAATTAAAAATAACAATGTTCTCCAAATATGTTCTTGCAAAATCATGATCGCCCTCAAGAAAGAATTAATCAGCTGTTGAACTTTGTTTTGAAAGCCTATGGTTGTAAACTTCATAATCCTTTGGCTGCACAGGGAGTTTCTGATTTACAAACACCCAACTAATGAACGCTCACATTTTCGAACTACACATGATTGTAATTTTAAATATCCAACTTTTAAACATTTAAACTTTTAAACATTGCCTGCTTTATATTGTCCAGCATTCTGTTCTGACTTGTGTACAAATTGTCTTGCAAATGGAATCAGCTCCCCAGCTGATGATGCATGAATCCCCTAACTGCTGGAGCTGAGCCTAACCAACTGACTGCTACCCACTCCCCAGATATGATTGGACAGATCCCCTGATCATGAGTGCCCAAGCTGACTCTATCCAAGCCCCTGGACTATGTGTGAACTGTGCCTGTACAAGGAACCCCTGAGCAATAGCAGTCCCCCTCTTGAGTGGACTGAGGACCAGCTCCACTTGCTTTCTGGTATGTTTGGTTGAATGCTCGTGCATTGTGTTTGCCACGCAGGCAGCTGGTACATGTTGTAGGTATTAGATTGACATTTTGGTCTGTGTGTAAAGCAGCACTGATTGCCTTTATGCTGTGATTGAAGCTGTAACGTGCCAAATGGCATGGCAAGGCAAGGAATGGATACTGCGAGCATGCAAGTAGATGCAAAGTTAGCATCTCCTAAGAGAGCAACAAGCAGCCCTTTCTGAAGAAGGGTCTAGGCCCGAAACATCAGCCTTCCTGCTCCTCTGATGCTGCTTGGCCTGCTGTGTTCATCCAGCTCTACACCTTGTTAACCCAAGATATTAGCCTGGTCCAGTCCATGAGCTGGGTACACAGGTGTCATTGCTGCCACCTTTTAAAGCTAGATCCTGATGTACCTTATAATGTAAATCTGTGCTTCATAAATGGATTGGGGAGGTGCCATGATGGTCATGAGGGGTTAGCAGATGCCAATTGCCATTGTCTGTGGATGAGGGATGAGTGTAGCTGGTGCCCATGTGTGGTGCCCTGGGTGCTGTTTGGTGCTGAGCATCATGCAGGCTGTTCGCAACAGCAGTAAGCTGAAGTCAGCAGAATGCCTGCTCTGATTTCCATGCTTGTTTGGCAGATTTGATGGTAAGATAGAGAGTTGAATAATAATGAGGTGAGTTGCAGCGTTAATATGATGCTGAACAAGCTGTAATCCTTCTTCATTGGCAACTTGCCATTACCCGTCAAAAAACTCACCTCACTACTTGGCAAATATGTAAAAAATGGAACATGCTGTTCCTGATGTCAAGATAGGCCTCATCAGACTTCTCACCTGATTCTGCCACAAATCTCGCCACAGCCCACGTCAATCAGAACTCTATATGATTCTGCTCTGTATGTCACTGGTTATACTTACTATAACATTGTGCCAAACATAGAAAATAATTGCCAGTTGCAATGCTTTTTATATATTATCCTTTGAGGTATGACAATTCCTTTATTCATTCACGGGATGAGGGTGTCGCTGGCTAGGCAGCATTTATTGCCCTTCCCTAATTGCCTAGAGGGCTGTTAAGAGTCAACCACATTGCTGTGGGTCTGGAGTCACCTGTAATCCAGACCGGGTAAGGATGGCAGTTTCCTTCCTTAAGGGACATTAGTGAACCAGATGGGTTTTCCTGACAATCGGCAATGGATTCACAGTTATCATTAGATTCTTAATTCCAGATATTTATTGAATTCAAACTCCACCGTCTGCCGTGGCGGGATTTCAACCCATGTCCCCAGAATGTTATCCGGGTCTCCGGATTAACAGTCCAGCAATAATACCATTAGGCCATCTCCTCCCCGTTATTGGAATGCTGTGGGCTAACTTTAATAATTGGTAACAAAACGCTAATGCATATCCTACCAAAATATTTCTGGTTACGTTCCATGTTGGCTTTAAACTCCAGTATTGCACCACTAACCCTTCCTTACAACTTTTTTTTAAATTTGCTTATGGGATGCGAGTGTTTCTGGCTTAGCCAACATTTATTGCCCATCCTGAAATTGTCCAGAGATCAGTTAAAAGTCAACCATATTGCTATGGGTCAGGAGTCACATGTAGACCAGACCAGGTAAGGGTAGCAAAGAACAAAGAACAAAGAAAATTACAGCACAGGAACAGGCCCTTCGGCCCTCCAAGCCTGCGCCGATCCAGATCCTCCGTCTAAACCTGTCACCTATTTTCCAAGGATCTGTATCCCTCTGCTCCCTGCCCATTCATGTATCTGCCTAGATACATCTTAATTGATGCTATTGTGCCCGCCTCTACCACCTCCACTGGCAACGTGTTCCAGGCACCCACCACCCTCTATGTAAAGAACTTTCCACGCACATCTCCCCGAAACTTTTCCCCTCTCACCTTGAAATCGTGACCCCTAGTAATTGAGTCCCCCACTCTGGGAAAAAGCTTCTTGCTATCCACCCTGTCTATACCTCTCATGATTTTGTAGACCTCAATCAGGTCCCCCCTCAACCTCCATCTTTCTAATGTAAATAATCCTAATCTACTCAACCTCTCTTCATAGCTAGTGCCCTCCATACCAGGCAACATCCTGGTGAACTTCCTCTGCACCCTCTCCAAAGCATCCACATCCTTTTGGTAATGTGGCGACCAGAACTGTACGCAGTATTCCAAATGTGGTCGAACCAAAGTCCTATACAACTGACCTGCCAACTCTTATTCTCAATACCCCGTCCGATGAATGAAAGCATGCCGTATGCCTTCTTGACCACTCTATCGACCTGCGTTGCCACCTTCAGGGTACAATGGACATGAACACCCAGATCTCTCTGTGCATCAATTTTCCCCAGGGCTTTTCCATTTACCATATAGGTTGCTCTGGAATTGGATCTTCCAAAATGTATCACCTCGCATTTGCCTGGATTGAACTCCATCGGCCATTTCTCCGTCCAACTCTCCAATCCATCTGTATTCTGCTGCATTCTCCGACAGTCCCCTTCACTATCTGCTACTCCACCAATTTTAGTGTCATCTGCAAACTTGCTAATCAGACCATCTATACCTTCCTCCAGATCACTTATGTATATCACAAACAACAGTGGTCCCAACAGTTCTTCCCTTAAGGACATTAGTGAACCAGTTGGGTTTTTGCCCTGACAATCATCAGTGGGTTTCAATGATCATGATTAGAGTCTTAATTCCAGACTTTTTTTTGTTATAGAATTCAAATTCCACCCTCTGCCATGGCAGGACTTGAACCCAGGCCCCCAGAAAATTGCCCAAGTGTCTGGATTAATAGTCTAGTGACAATACCACTGGGTCATCTCCTCCCCATATCAACCTTAGCAATTCAGGTTATAGTGGAAAATTAGACTGTCTTTATTGTGGAGCCTGTTTATTGATTCTCTGCCAGATTTATTTATTTCAAACCTTCTAGGTGTTATGAACGTATGTGCCTTGAGTGATTTTATGTGAAGGATTCTGCCCCCAAACACATGTGCTGTGATATTTTGGGACACCACAGTAAGGTTCTTTTCTATAGGTAGCAATGGGCTGGATTCAATTGCAGGTTTTGGGACTTGGTTGAAATGGGGGTTCTGAATCCAGCTTGGCACTCTTCTGGAAGTTGGCTTCCTAACTGACCACAAACATGTCTGCTATTCTGTTCTGAATGCCAGGTAGGCTTGCGATGCTGTAGTGCCAATAAGAGAGGCTGCAGCTGTAGATCCTTGGCAGCCCCACATGTAGAGGTGAGCACTGTACAGCAGAGCTCGCAACATAGAGCACAACAGTGAAAAGGTAAGCAAGATCTATGTCAGCAGGTTCGGAGGCATGAAGAGGAAACCCCTCCAATGGATCAGGTTTCATTAAGATGCTCATGGGTCTGTCATTGAGACATGAAGCCTCTGGCATGGATCACCCCTTGTCTGCCATAATGATACCACCTGCATTGAGATGGGTTAGGATTAGGCACACAGCAGGAAACACTGTCAGTAAAAAGCCACGAAGTAGCAAAATTGCTCATAATTGAGTCTTAAGTAGTATAATTGGCTGTCTAAACTAATGGCAGGTGGGAATGTATTGATAAGTCGACCCAAACTGGTACTTTTCTGTTTTCCTGAATCTCCTACATCCAAGACCACCATCACAATCCAATGTCTCTTCTTCTATTGAGTGGTGGAAGCTCTGTTTTTGTCTAAACAGGTGCTATATGAGTTGTTGTATGTGCAGTTAAACAAAATCTGCACCTCACCATGGGATAGGTTTCTACCACCATCTTCTTTCAGTATATGGATCTACAGGACTGCTTGTTTTAGTGCGGTTGAAGAAAGTCACTTAATGGTCTAACTAGAAGAAGCTTTGTACTGAATAAGAAGCAGTTTATTAGATATTTGCAACCAGTTACATTGATATGATTGATGTTGTTCCAGAGTCTATAAGGAGCACCGAGATGTTACGTTTTACTCCTTCAAGATTCTAAACTGTTCTGCCCACAAATTCATCATCAGAGTATGCTAACTACAGCATATTATTTGTGCCAGCCTGTATTGCATTGAAAAGAGGCTCTAGAATTGTTATCTCAGGATTACTCCCTGTGCCATGGGCTAGTTAGGCCATAAATATGGACAATGTTTGGTTGAATGCATGGCTAAAGAGCTGGTGTAGGAGGGAGAGCTTCAGATATGTCGATCATTAGGATCTCTTCCAGGACAGGAAGGACCTCTTCAAAAGGATGGTTTGTATTTAAACTGGGACACCAATATCCTTGCAGGGAGGTTTGCTAATGCTCTTGTGAGGGTTTAAAATAGTGTGGCAGGGATTGGGAACTGCAGCAGTAGGTTAGAATGTGGAGTAATTAA